CGGCAAATAAATGATACAAGTTTGAAGTGCCCCGGGGCCGGCGAGAGGGAGTTTTTCGGAATAATATGACACTGTTCCGGCAACTCCGTGAATTAATCGTATGTAATTTCAAACTGGTGTATCTCTGGCACCGGCAAATGGAATTACATATAAATTAAGTAGTTCTTATTCAAAGGGCCGGGCCCTCATTGCCTTTAGATAATGAAAACAGCCACCCCACAGCCGGCTTTCTTAATTACCTTACTTTTTCAACAATCATAATTGGATGGCTCCCGATTGTAATGTACATTTGTCCTTCTTTTATTTACTTCTCCCAAAAAACAGAAGCTGTTCTTTGCAAACAGCAAGGTAATTTTCATTCGTTGAACAGACATTGGACGGAACAAAATCAAGCTTATCACCTGTTTATATTAATTTTTCATACATGATAAATACATAAAAACAACTAGTCGTTAAATTGAGAAATGTAAGGTATATAAAGGTAATTTTATACTACTTTGGGGGGGATATTGCACCATATGTTCCACATAATTGAAGGTTGTCATTCTTTGGTTCCACATAGTGAGCGGGTAGGAATGCCACCAAAAATGAAAATTGTGCTTGAGCGCGCAGAAAGTTTTTGGGTCCTGTTTTTGATTTTTGTAGGAGACTAGGCGGTTTATTGCATATAGTGTATAGTAGAAATCTAATTTTACGAATCGTTTTGTGTATATTGAGATTGAATGTATTTATTAGCGTGAATGTATAGTTTGGGAGGGACGATGGTGTTGAGCATCCCATCGACACTCAATTTGATTAGTTATATAATACGGAAAAGAGAGGAATGTTGGTACTCGACCATTTTTCATGTGAGAATATTATGGCTTGGAGGCTGAAAAGACATGGATTTTGAAAGCAGAGCGGCTCAGATTAGTCCGAAGTTTAACCAAAAAACCCGAGTGGGTAATTCTCGCAGCTTGCTGCAATTAGTCATAAGCTCAATTTTATAAACCTGTCCATTCATCAAAACTTTTTTTGCAGTTATATCGCAATTTTGCTTCTTGACCCAACTCAATCTTCCACTTCTACACGCAACAAGAATTAGCAAATAGTCTCCGAAAGCTATCGCTTAGAAGTTTAATGAGGTTTTTTTGTTGAGGCCTTGATCTTACCACAGTTTCGTAAATAATCCAATATCGATAGATTTCAGGAAGACATTTAGAAATCATTGATAGGAATGAAATCAAATAAACAAACTAAGACCCAAGTACTTTCTAAAAAGAAGTCAGGAAGAAGGGGTTCTTTATTTTTCAAGTATAGATAAGTTTTGAAGGAGTTTGAAATTGAAATGCAAAGCAACCCAAAGACTCAAAACATAAACAAGAAACTGGCTAAGAAGAGGGAGGAAAAATTGAATCGCATAAATCATTCATTTGGATATGACTCCATTTATAAGAAAAATAAATATTCCGTCTTCCTCTAATGCGGAGTTTTATAGGGTTAGGTGATTGTTCCATGATATAAATAATTCATCGGCTCATGGCTTATTTAAAATATACACGACAAAGAAGATATTGTATTCAACCATCAGATTTATGATTTTTCCGCGAGTATATTTACTACTTCTTTACTGCCGGTTCTTAGTTAAACATTTATGCTTGAGGGAGTGATCAAATAAGCACTTGCGGCTTTACCATGCTCTAAACTTATCAGATTCCCTTGAGAAGAAAGTAATTCATATAATAAATACATTTAACCTTAACTTTTAAAGAGAAAAAAGTGAATCGTTAATAAAAATATATTACGTAACGTAAAAAATTGAAATATAAATCGAACCAAAATTAATTTGTAAAAAAGAATTACAATATAAGAAAAATATCAAACATTCACACAGAAATAAAAGTCAAATTGAATATCCTTTTTTGTTCATGTTAAGCGAGCTTCTGTATTTTTGTAAGTCCTTTTTTTATTATTGTTTGTATGGCTTTATTGAGAATCGGTCTCATCATGTTGTATACCCTGAAAAAAATATTTGGTCTACAACCCTAGTTTTTTTCTGCTACTCTTCTGTACACCATCAACGCACGTGAAGCCTTTATGAAAGTAGTTCAGACCAATGATGACAGAACAAAACGAATGGAAACGGTCAAACTCATCACTCCGCAGATTTTGAGAAGAAACCTTGCATTTTTCGAATAATTATATACGATTTTTTCTAAACGAAAAATTTGTGTCCGAAGCGGGATTCGAACCCAACATTTCGAACGCCCTTACATTTTCATCATCGACTAGCCACAATTTGTAGAGATGGTTCATGTCAAAACCATAATTCTAACAAGTCATATATAATTTCTATTGCCTAAGTTGAAAAACAAGTTGGTCAAAAATAATTGAAATCGTGAATATTAACCACAAACAAAAACCTGTGTACGTTCGGAAGCATTTGACAACGATCGAACCGATGCTTAGATGAAGTTGGCTGAACAATCAAAGAGCCTAATGAAATGACCAAACGCAATTACCGTAGAACCATAATTCATTGTAATTTCTATGGTTTAACTTCTAGAAAGTGTTATTGGCAGTAAAAACAGAAACGAAACCTTGACGGGATTGTATGGTTTGATGTAAGTAAAAAACAACGATTTTTTTTTTAATTTTTACTTTGCCTTATGTCATTAGCCATGCAGTTTTTATTGATGGAGAGAGGACCGAGTAAATATGGCGCCGAGACCCGACGTTTCCCCCCCCCGGCCCTTACACCACCATTTATTGGTAAGTTACAACAAAAGTTGATCCTGTATATCTAAAGTTATATTTTCAGATTAGATGCCTTCAGAAACCAAAATAGCAGCGCATAACTTCCTTGTTCCCTGAGGCAACGAGCGTCTCAAGAGAGTAAGGTCTGTCCGGATCGGTTAGGGCATCAATACCGTTTAGCAGTTTACATCTTGCGTTTTCAAACTTTGGGCATTCCATTACTATATGGTTTAAATCTTCTGGGTAGACGCATGTTACACAATTGGGGGACTCCTTAAGCCCGATTCTACACATATGTGCTCCCCACAGACCATGGTTGCTTCGTATTCTAGAGATAACGGTGAAATAATGTCAAGGTGCTCTGACCCCTTGAAACCACGGTTCTTTCGGCACCAAAGGAAATCTGCTTCTATAAAGTGAGCCTCCATCAGCGGAATTGCGGAATTATGGAACTCATGCCAATCTGAAATCCACCTATGGTTCAGTACACGCTGGCAGGCACTTTTGGTCATTGCGTAGTCGCACCGCTCACCGTCTATGACCGCTTCCTTTGCAAATCGATCAACTTTCTCGTTTTCCTTTATTCCAGAGTGACCTTTGATGCAGCCTAGGGTAACATTTATGCCCCTGGTGAGTAAATTATTAGTTATCACTAAAATGCTGGCCTTTATGTGATCGCATTTAGAGTTTGCTTTTATTCGTTCTATTTTCGAGATCACACCCTTTGAGTCTGTCAAAACCGCGACTTTTTGAACCCATATATTTTCTTGGACGAAATGTAATGCCTTTAACACTGCCAAGGATTTGGCCGAAAATATGGAGCAATTTCCGGAAGGGCCAATTTCTTGTTTACCCTGAGCATCGGGTCGTACAATGCAAAGTTTATCGTTTATTAGGGAGCCGTCCGTAAAAATCAGGTGATGGCCTTCCAGGAGACTCCTGGAATCAGCAAGAAACATTTGATTTGCAACTTGGGGGGGAGAAGCCCGAATAGTCCCGTAGGTAGATACACCGAGGCGCCCTAAATTCCGAAGGAGAGAGCAAACGGAATATTGGATCGAGTCTGCTCTTATATGCTGAGTAAATTCTGGGAACACATGTAGTAACGCTGTGACAATCGGTGAAGGTTTTTTATGAAGCCAGAACTTGCTTACTTGGACCTGAGCTGTGAGAGAGACTACTTTTGAGAAACTAGGACTGTCCGTTTGATAAAGACTAATAATTTTGTTAACGGCCAACTTTATAATTCTAGAATTTAAGGGGGGTTCCGCGGCCTCCGCATAAATTGCAATGGTTGGTGTGCTCTGAAGGCAACCGAGGATACGCCGGAGACACCTGTTTATGAATGTTTGGACCTTTTTTAGATGTGTATCCGCTGATTGTCTGTAAAATATTAGTCCGAAATCCATTACTGATCTGATGGTTGATCTATAGAAGAGTAGTCCAGTAATCTGGGGGCGTTGGTAGCCGCAACGGTTTAGGCGATGACACGGCGCTCATCACTGTAAGGTAAAGGTCCCGGGTTCGAATCCAGTGGCCCCGCATTCAAACCCGACATATTTGCAAATTTTTTTTTTTTTTTTTAAACACCGGCACCCCGAGGGTTGATATAACCTCTGTTGGTTGCCAACCCTCGTTAAAAAAAATTAATCTTGCAGGTTGTACGTCAAGATCATTTCTTAGCTTATTTTTACTACTTTGTTGTTTGTTAAAATAATTTTTTCTTAGTTTAATTTGTCGAAAATCATTTTGTCTTTTGACAAATGTATGTAAGCATGGTGAAAAATGTATTTATGGTAACGCCAAAGTGAAACAATAGACAGACAAATTTGCACTCGATCAAATAGATCATGTTTGTGACACCCCCGACTTTTTATCACGTCAAATCCGACGGCATTATTCATTTTCAAAAATGTTTTTTCATTCCCTTGATATTATTTTTCCGAACGTTCCGGGAAAGGGGGGAAAATGAGGGAAACACTTTTTAATATGTTTAAATTAAGTGAAATAGTTGGACTTGGGGTCAATAAATTTTCTAACAACTTCTCACAACTATAATTCACTGTATTAAGGCCACATTCCCATACCGAGAACCCGCCACTTCGCCTTAATCGGCCTCGTGACCTCCCTCACATTTAGTACCATCGTTGGTTGGTTTCTCCGGGTACGGCGTAGCGTTACTCATCAAGTTTTGTGATCTCATTTGTGATATGTACTAAATATATTGTACAAACGAAATAAATAAAAAAAAGAAACGTTCATAAATCTCTTGAAACCTCATTCTCTCAGTAAACAATGCAGGTTTTTAATTTTTCTCGTTCGGAAAATTCAATTTCAATAAAAAAGGAAAACCTAAGAACCCACTACTGACTAAAATATCATATGTTTTGTCTAAATCGATAAATAAAATTGTTTCCTCCATAGACTAGTTTAGGACTAATAAGAGTTTAAAGGTAAAAAAAAATTATACAAACAAAAACCCCCATCAATCTTAGACAAATAACGCCAAAATGTGCGACAACGCGATCAAGTTCCGCCACCTCGTCAACAATGACATGGACAAAGTCCCTCGCGGTTTCGTCATGTACGACCACCAGTGTCTCGTCAAAGGAGAAATGGAAGAACTTGAATCTGTTTTCGTCGACATGTGCAAATCTAACGAACACTACCTAGCCACTCACAAACAGGTAAATATGGTAAAATCGTCAGTACATTTTAACCTTAATATTTCGAAAATAATAAAAGCATCGAAATAATTGGCAAACACTGTTTTTGTTGTGTTGTGTTAACGGCCAATTACAGCATGTCAATATCGATAATTGATAAAAATAAGTCACATACGTTTTTTTACACATCAAACAGCTTTGAAGAAAACAATAAATTTAGAAAATTCTTCTCAGACGGTTTGAAGAACCATTGACAACAGATCATAAATTCCTATGGGCGGCAGATAAGTGCGGTCTATGCCAGATCTTTCGAAAACAATGCTTTCACCACTTACTGGATAGTGTACACTATACGCCATGTACAACTTACATCAAACGTCTCACATCAAAACAGCTTCAGATTTTACTCCTAAAATTCCCTAAAACATTCATTACATATATATTCAATTCTGATCTTAGTAAAACCTGCTTTCGTTTAGATTGGAAACTCTCATCCTCAAACAACCTCCCTGACTTTTGCAGATGGTACGGCGATCCTCTCAAGTAACTCTGATCCTGCTGGTTCCACTCCAAACCAATAACAACTCAAACTACTAGAGTCTTTGTGATAAAAAAAATTAACACAAAAACTCCACCCATGTAGTCTTAACTTTCGCCAAAATTATCTTCAGTTTATTTCAATAATATCCTATTGGGTTGTCCGGAAAATAATGCAGGATTTTGGTATTAAACAAAAAAAAAGAAACTAGTTACTTTAAAGCAATGTTCTTTAATCAAAATANGCTACAGAGGTAAACAAACAATATCATTTGGAAGAGGATTAATAAGTGTTGACATTCATACAAATGAGTAATCCTGTAAACGTAAACAGAATAATTTATATAGATTTTTTTTAATGAAAACTTAAAATCCTGCATTATTTTCCGGACAACCCAATATTATCCTATACTAATATGGTACAATCATCTATAAGTCATATGAACTGGAAGTAAAATTTGGGGTTGTACCAAGCTAAGTAACATAAAGTAATTGAAAGTTTGCAGCATGATAAGGTAATAGTTTGGTAGTTACAAATACAATGGTCGGTTAGGAATATTGGGACGAGACCTACCGTCGCGTCGCTCTGCATATTCCTACTTCAAAACTCAACAATCAAAACGGCAAATACGGAAATTTGTCTGACACGACAATACAACCAGGATAAGACCAAATTGATCAGTGACCAAACCAAATGACATAATGATTTTACCCATTGTTTTCCTAATATGTCAAACTAGAATTTGATATCAGTCAACATGTGTGTTAAATACGTAATAATTTTTGCGTGACCATTACGTAGGATTAGGTAGTGTTAGAGTTGAGTTAGGGTTAGGTTAAGGCTGGGTTAGCTTAGAGTGGTTATGTTAGTGTGGGCTGGGATAGAAATTGTTAGGTTAGTTAGGGTTAGAGTAAGTTTTGGCTGGGTTAGGTTAACAATGTTTAGGTTAGGCTATGCTGGGCTATGTTAGGTGAAACATGACAGTTAAGACTGGGCTTTCCAAGATTAGCTTAGATTAGTTGAGGAATGGTTAGGTTAGTTTATATAAATTCAACTTAAACTTTTATTTTTTATATTGATTTTTTTTTTTTTTAATAAATTTACATAGAACACATTCCTTTAAGTTTCAGGGGAAGTGGCGGGGCACTATTACATCCCATTACAAAAATTGATCTATTTGATCCCTAGTCTAAATATAGAGGGTTTTTTTACAATATTGTGCTCGTGGAAAATTACAAAAAAACCACAAAGGAAAACCACAAATTTTTTAAATTGTGTGTATGTTTACATATGCATCTTCAAGTGTTCGAATAAATAGGTATTTTCTTTAATTTATTGGGTACTATTTTTCTTTTTATTATTATGTATTATAAGTTTTTATTATTATTCATTAGTTTCATGTAACAAATTAATTGCTTGTATTGATTAACTGATTTATTAATATATTATTATGCTCTAACAGTCAACGTGGCCGATGGATTTTATTTAATATCCAGTAGTGTTTTGAATAAAATTATTTATTATAGTTATTTTATATATTGTTTGAAAATAAAACAATAATATAAATAATGAGTTTATTATTATTAGGTTATGTTGGGCTGGGAGGAATGGTTAGTTTAGTAGGGTTAGGTTATGCATGCTGGACTATGTTGCACATACACAATGCCCTGGAATCTCACAAACTAACAATATTAGTCAATGCATTATTTCATCAATTAAAAAATTTAATTAATTAGGATTAAATATTTTAAGGATGAATACTTAACATTGTATATGTTATGTTTAAAAACATGTAATATGATTTTGTGGAACATGTGAAATATAAACGTATTAAAAAAATACCCACGATGCATTGTTATTCCGCGAAGCGTTCAAAGGAGGTTCTACGTAGAAGTCTGGATATATCGAAAAATACTAGCACACGAATTTAACTTCTAAACCTTTATTTTTTATATTGTGTGTATGTTTACATAGGCATCTTCAAGTGTTTGAAGCAAAAGGTATTTTCTTTAATTTAATAGGTACTATTTTTCTTTTTATTATTATGTATTATAAGTTTTTATTATTATTCATTAGTTTCATGTAACAAATTAATTGCTTGTATTGATTAACTGATTTATTAATATATTATTATGCTCTAACAGTCAACGTGGCCGATGGATTTTATTTAATATCCAGTAGTGTTTTGAATAAAATTATTTATTATAGTTATTTTATATATTGTTTGAAAATAAAACAATAATATAAATAATGAGTTTATTATTATTAGGTTATGTTGGGCTGGGATGAATGGTTAGTTTAGATAGGGTTAGGTTATGCATGCTGGACTATGTTGCACATCCACAGTGCCATGAACTCTCACAAACTAACAATATTAGTCAATGCATTATTTCATCAATTAAAAAATTTAATTAATTAGGATTAAATATTTTAAGGATGAATACTTAACATTGTATATGTTATGTTTAAAAACATGTAATATGATTTTGTGGAACATGTGAAATATAAACGTATTAAAAAAATACCCACGATGCATTGTTATTCCGCGAAGCGTTCAAAGGAGGTTCTACGTAGAAGTCTGGATATATCGAAAAATACTAGCACACGAATTTAACTTCTAAACCTTTATTTTTTATATTGTGTGTATGTTTACATAGGCATCTTCAAGTGTTTGAAGCAAAAGGTATTTTCTTTAATTTAATAGGTACTATTTTTCTTTTTATTATTATTTATTATAAGTTTTTTCATTAGTTTCATGTAGCATAAATTAAATGCTTGCATTAATATTATTATGCTCTCATAGGCAGATGGATTTTATTTAATCTCCAATAGTGTGTTAAATAAAATTAATTTTTTTATAATTATTTTATATTTTGTTTAAAAATAAAACAATAATAAGAATGAGTTTATTATTATTATTAGGTTATGTTGGGCTGGGAGGAATGGTTAGTTTAGTAGGGTTAGGTTATGCATGCTGGACTATGTTGCACATACACAATGCCCTGGAATCTCACAAACTAACAATATTAGTCAATGTATTATTTCATCAATTAAAAAATTTAATCAGTACTTAACATTGTATATGTTATGTTTAAAAACATGTAATATGATTTTGTGGAACATGTGAAATATAAACGTATTAAAAAAATACCCATGATGCAATGTTATTCCGCAAAGCGTTCAAAGGGCACATGCTATTTTTCTGAAAGGTAGGTCAATAAAATTTGTACCGTTTTGTTCAGTTTCTGCAGAGGGCATGCTTTTTGTAAGATATTGTTATATTAGTATATATTATGCTGCTTTTATCGATGTCAACTAATCTCGTGTTTTGCTATAACTTCAGAGAAGTATTTCTCTTCAAAATTATGTAAAAAATACTCCTGCCATTATAGGTGGAGTCAAGTTTTCAATTTTGTCTAGTGTGTATTTTGGCTATCAGTTGGTTAATATTGCTTGTTGCTGTATGCGATATTGTTCATTTGCTGTATTTTTCATTGATAGGTTACTTAATTTATAGCTAATGCTTAGTAAGATGACTTTAGTTAAATGTTTTCAGGTTCTTGGGTTGATATCCCTCCTTTTGCACAACGTGATAAAAGACCAACCGTTCGATCCAAGGAAGTATATAAAGTCTTTTTTGAAAGATAAGGACCTCAAGTTAGAACTTAACCGCCACATGGCTGAAAAAGGCTATGGTCCGCTTCATTAGTTCCTATTGCATTAAGTCGTACTTAAAACGCCATGTCAAGTATCGATTTTTTTTTTCAGAGAAAAACCAGAGCCAACTAAAACACGACAAGATCTACAAGAAGAAGGTAGACAGCGTCCACGAAAGGATTAGAGACGAGGAAGAAGGTGAAATAAGGAAATACCTCGACCACGGGAAAATAACATTGACATCATTCGGGCCGCCGTTCCCAGCTTGCCACTTGCCTTACGCCAAATCAGAAATATCCACAATTCTCCATGGTTCCATACCTGTTTACGACAGGCCATTGAACATAATACCACCGCTAACAGACCCGCAAAGAAATCCGAACGAATGGCCGACATTTTATTATTAATAATAACCGTCCATAAATGTGCTTTTTAGGAATATTTACTTCTACAGGAAGAAAATTTTCTTTCTGCTTAAGTTAATATATCAATGCTTCCCATCACCCAAATAAAAAAGGCACAGACCGTATTTTGTATTTTTTTTTCTTTTTTAATATATACTTTTACATGGTATAATAGCAGAGTCAGTCATTGAACATTTTCGTCCTATTTCGTCGTATTTCAGGGCAAAGTGGGAATAATGGAGAACCCATTGACAACCCTTTCATTTCATTTTTTGTTTTTTTGTTTTTTAACGAGGGTTCGCACAGCAGAGATATGATCAACCCTCAGGGTGGCGGTGTTTTTGAAGAAAAGCCCATTTGTAAGTATGTCGGGTTTGAATGCAGGGTCGCTGGATTCGAACCCGGGGCCTTTACCTTATAGTGTTGAGCGTCGTGTCTACGCCTAAAGGACTTTGCCCACTAGAACGTACCATACTAGGACCGTGTCAAGCCAGGAACACACTTACCCGATGCTACGTCATGCGAAGCTACCCGATGCTACCCGATGCCTTGGCACGTTTTGGTGGGGTGTGCACATTTATCCGACGCAGGTACACGTCGTGTATAGTCCACAGCGTTTATCACAATAATCACTATCACAATCGCAACGCATCTTTTGTTCTTAATGCACTATTTTGAGCAAAACCTTGTAATAAATTGTTAAATTTTATGAGTACAACCATCTAATAAATTGTTTGTTAAACTTAATTGTTTTAAATAAAGTTACTCCTAACTATCTAATTAAACAATGTTTATAAAAACTTATGCATTTTTATCTCGTTTAATTTGGTTTACATTAAAATAACACGTCGTAATCAATATAACGACAAAATTACATGTACTTAGTTTGAAATAAATTACAAAAAATATGAGTGTCCTGTTCTGATGCTACCCGACATTAGAAAATGGTGTAAGTTTAGGAGCAAAACTATGAAATAAATTGTTAATTAAATTTTATGAGCAAAACCGTGTAATAAATTGAAGCGAGTACAATAAATTGTTAGTTAAATTCATTATATCAAAAAATCGTATTCCTGTGTTTTGATTAATTTTCTACCAAACCATTAAAATTATTTTTTTTAAACTTATTAATTTTTAATCACAGTTTAATTGGGTTTATATTAAAATAAGTATGTTGTAATTAATATAACGACAATAATACATGTAGTTTGAATAAAAATATGAGTGTCCGGTTCTTTTGTCTTCGACTGTAGTCGATGCGACCCGACGAAAATCTGGACAGTGGGGATCGCAGAGCGTCGAGTAGGTTAGCGTGGCATAGCATCGAGTAGATGTACACGGGGGTAATGCAACCTTATGGAAAAACGGAGTTTGGATATGCGTCGGGTAGCATTGGGTAGCGTCGCATAGCGTAGCATCGGGTAAGTGTGTTTCTGGCTTAAAGGTCTTTGCCCACTAGAACGTACCATACTAGGACCGTGTCAGGCACGAAAAAAAACGCTCCGGTTACTACTAGCCCAATGCAACGGATGAACCGCGTTCTATACCCGTATGTAACGCATATGTAAAAACGTTTCATAGCCGTCCTGCTTCAGTTGCTGTCGTACATTTCTTTTTTAAAGACGCGACGTTTGTGAACTTTTGTTGTGTGGAGTAAATTTGTTAAATAAAGTATGGCTATTAGAAAATTATCTATACGAGAATTGGCCATGATTGCTATTATTTTGGACGAGGAAGAGAAAAAAAACACTACATGTTGTAAATTGTATAAAAACTCCTAATTACGAACATATTCTATTAATTGTTCATCCTCCATTTTTATTAAGACACAAACACTCACAATACAATAGAACACAAACATAGATCTCTTCGTCAAATGCTAAGAACTTGTGTGGAACGGGAGAGCAACACAGTAGGCCGGATGCGCACAACGGTCACGTGTCATACCCGTAGCGGGCCGACACCTGCAAAATATTCTCGGCAGCCGATTTTTGACTGAACGTGCACGGCACGGTACGGTGTTGGCCGGTGACGGAACGGTGTAGTGGGCATTTTCTAATACTAAATGATGTAAATAATATTTATTTGCACATTTCGGTACAGTTACGGTCCTAGTATGATACGTTCTAGTCGGCAAAAACCTTTAACCGTTGCGGCCACCGACCCCCCTCTAAAGTATAAATACAATGCAATATATATACATAATATTTAGACATAAAATATAAATGTGTTTATTGATATAGAAGCAAATACCTACAATAAATTGACATGGCTACCACGGTCAAAAAAACCTTTTAACCTTTATTGTCAGATTATTTTTTTATATACACCTTTATGAAGTATAATAATATAGTATTTGTAGTGATTTTTGGATAATCTATCTGCTCTAGATAATAACGGAGATTCCGTAGACAGGCCAATCTTAGTCGCGGTGCACAACAGGATTTTTTATCTGATTTTAAATTAAACAAATTCTTTCCAGCGTTCACAGGTCACTCACTCCCAACTATCTATGTACCATAGATTCATTCGAGTAACGTCATCCTACCTAGGGTTCTCTTCCTCGCATTCTCGTCAGCTGATTGATCCAGAGTCCCTTCACCGTCTTCTTCGTGCATCCTCTTTTCACTACTTCACCCCCAACAAAGTTTTGTTGTGTAGCTCTGTGAGGACTTCCCTCATTACCCCCATATATTTGCGATTTGAGGCCGCCACCTAATCCAATGCACTCGCAGCATCATAGGCCACCGCGAGGTGTAGGACGGATATACTCCATCCTCGCTGGCAGCCACGATATCAGCCCTGAGACATCCGGTAGCAGGTGAGTAGTTTCCACGGTGACCTGGTATGAGGCCAAATCACAGAGACCGACGATTAAGACCTAATAGCACTTATCGTGCCTCCTTACAATCTGACAGTAGTACTCTGGGCACTAGGAAAAGACGTGAGTGCAAACGCCAGCCCAAAATCTACTACATTTGGTTGCTAAGAACCCCGCCCTTTTCGTTGCCTCCATCGTACCCAACGAATTTGTCCTAAGGCTAGATTGATATATCTAGACAAGTAGGTGATACATCTTGGGGCCATCGGTTGCCCACCTCGTCGCCGGAAGAGACTCAACAGTTCCAGGCACTTTTTCTAGTTGGGGTGGCTTTCGGCCAATTACTTCCATCCGGATGATTTGTTGGCTAAAGGAGGAATTTTTCAGGATGTTTGACAAGCAATGGTGGTAAAATGATGAACCAAAATGACCTATGTAGGTGCTGAGGTGTTTAAGGTTTGGGAATGGGTTTTGTAATGAATACTGTCCATTGGATTTGGAAGTAGGTGGTTCTGAGGATTATGTGTCCATTCATGGTAAGGAAAATTATAGATTTTTTATGTTTTAAAAGGATGGTTGTTGTGATAAGGTCAAAACCGGAGGATTTTCTTACTGAGAGTGGACGGATGATGATTTGACCTCTGTTTGATTGTATTTCATTCTCCGGGTGCCACCTCGATCGAATACATGCCTCACGTTTAGGGAAACTCTCAAGCAGCATTCCTTCCGTCCTGCAAGTATACCCCGAGAGTTCCACAAGGCAGCGTCCTTGGTACCATTCTGAACTCAATATAGAGTTCATGCAATTCCACCTTTCAGCAAACACAGGTCGAGCATGTTCTTCGGACACCATCAGAACTATCGCTTCTCTTTAGAAAAACGTTTCTGGAAATCCGATCAGACAGAACAAAACCAAATAACCTTCACTCTTCACCATATCACCTTTTCTCCAATCTGTATACAACTCTGATCTTTTCCCAGTCACCAATATCCGTTGTTTGGTGATTTTACATCGACAAATGACTTTTTTGGAACGCCACTCAATCCAGATAAAATCTAAATCCTTTGTGAACTTTTTATTTTGTTTACATCACCGGATATTACGCCGAAATTATAATTCAAATTGATTTGTATAAAAAAAGTTTGCTTGTCTTTCACAGATAATCAAAAGTTCATCAAGAACTTATTACATTCAAATGAGATTAATGGCGATTGCCTGGTACAAAAAGTGAAATAATTTATAAAATGGGCCGGGATTTATTAAAAGAACAAACAAACGGGGAGGGATTTTGATAAGTGATTTTGTTGTTTCCGAGTGCTTGAGAAATCAATCTTAGAGACTAAGTGGTTTTAGGTTAAAGCCGACGGGAACGTGCATATTTCATAGCTAGGCCTATAATCAACAGAAATGGAACGGGGGGGAAGGATTAGCATTAACTTCTTCAAAGTTGGCGGAAGAATATTTTAGAAGAGCTAAGCCGAAGACGCCCTTGAGTAAGTTATGAGTTCGACCGGCCGTAGCCTTCCGACTTCAGAAGCAGAAAAAACGATTATTGTAAATAATTCAAAATGGCGTATAAAGTAGTTTACAACTTGATCCAATTTCTCCTACTAAAACGGGTTTGTCTAGTTCTTTCCCTACTAAGATATAGCCAGTTAGAAAGCACTAAAAAATACCCGTCCGTCTCATAACATTTCTCAGTTCTGAGGCGGAATTATGTCAAATTGAATTTTTCAGTAACACATAAAAAATTCAATTAGGAAATTTGCCCAATTTAATTGGTGTAAAAAAATTTTTTTTTAACTTTTGCAGAAATAAAATTCATCCCTTTACTACCGTCTATCTACATCAAATTCATCCAAAAACCTACCTAATTGTGACCGTAATCGTGATTATTGGTACGTTACGTGTGTGTGTGCGCGCGTGTGTGTGTGTGTGTGTGTGTGTGTGTGTGTGTGTGTGTGTGTGTGTGTCAAATATATTAATAATTGTTAAGTTAAATGTAAGTGACTAAATTGTATTGGTACGTTTAGGTGAGAGTTTCTTGGCTCTATTTTGTCTTTGACCGAGTATAATTCTTTAACTTGATCCATCCAACTTTTGCTGTTTGAACGGAAAGAACGTTGTCCGAGAGGCAAACCTTGGGTCAATAGTGGCTCACGGACTTGCTCTGAAAACTTCTTTCTCTTATTACCTCCGTTTTGACCTAACACTAAAAATCTACGAAATATTCCTAAAAAGCTGTAAGTTTCCTTACTATTTGTAACAATTGAACCCTGAACACAGGATGGAATGACTTAAGCCAAT